TGTGGATGTCCGTACTGGACCGCGATATTCCCGGCATAAAGAAGCACTCGAAGGAATTACAAGTGGGCGATTTGGCGGAGCTCTTCGCTTGTATGGTTACGGGTCGATCGTGGGCTTCCATCACTTCTGGGATTGATAAAGCCGGGAAGTCGAAAGCCGAAGAAAATGAGATAAGAGCCGAAGCTGGGAAATATCTCCCGCAAATTTCCGCTGTGAGTTTTGCAAATCATGAATTATGATATTTTGCATATCGTGTTGTTTTTATTCACTGTTTTTACGATACATTTCTGAAGCCCATCGAGTTGCAGTCCCGTGTCATCTTAATTGCTGTTTAACCAAACGGGGGGTGTTTTCAATACGACTTTCTCACGCGAGAAAGGCGGAGACATGAGACTGCTGTGAATGTTTTTACCAGCTCTGAATGAGGGTTATTTGTTTTGACAAGAATATTAAATTATTTGGCGTGAGAAAGCACTTGAAATTTAATTTCATGTATATTATTTTTTAATGATCCTTTTGTTTAGGAGCTGTCTTCACCCCTTTTGAAATGTGTTCAGTCTCGGTAATTTCTAAAAACTTTCTTCAAATTCATCATCTAAATGAACTCCGTAATCGAACGATAAGGTAATTAAACTTGAATGCGTTGAACCAATCTAAGTCGACCGAATCTTACCCTTGAATAACCCACTCCAAATTGTCGTTGCTAAACTTCTTATTTAACTCAAGATCAATTCAAATACCTTGACCATATTGCAGTTGACCTTAGAAACGCAAGTTAACCCAAAATCATTTCGTGACCAAAACTATCCTCACTTCCGTAACCTATGATGAATGTATAAATATAAATATGGTTTTCGGGTTTTGGCAGGAAGAGTTTCAGTTGAGGAATACGATCTTAGCTATGCTATCTGGAATGGCTGATGTCGACAACTTTTTATTATTTTAGAAAAAATTTAGCTCATTGTGTTTCCTTCGTTTTACCGTCATAAAAACGAAAAACTCTCATCCTCACAACTTTCCGTCGAGTTTTATTTTTTAAACAAATTTTCGAAACTTCGTAGGTCCTCAGTCGCGTCCCTCGAGAAATGCTGCTGATTTTCAAGACGAACGATCTTCTGAGAGGAATAGAACACAAACTTGGAACTTCAAGAAAAATGGCGTCATTTGTGTCCATGAGTCGGTGTTGTGTTCGGGCTGTGGCGGAGCAAGAGACGAAAAATTGCGCCAGTTTTTGGTGCCGATGGAGAATCCAGTTTTGGTACCGGTGGGCTGTATTTAAGATGGATATCTATTCGTGTATTTTAGCCTTTTCCGATTGGATTCACAAGTTTCGTCGGCGTTCTCCTGCGGTACCCTTCGTGCAGATTTACAAAACATTTTGATGAAGCCGGTGTCAAAAGTTGAATTTCAATGTCGAGTTTACGCGTTGACAGATACTTGAAATCGGGAAGCTCTCGTCAAAACAAAACGAAAAATCGTTTTCACGTGCTCGAAGAACTTCAGTTACCGACTCCATCGATTTGAAAAGTCGATTGGAGAAATCGTCAAATCCCGTCGGAAAA